ATTTGGAATGTGGATTCAGAGGAATGACTTTGACAGGTGACTGGTAAACAGACTGACACATTAAAGGTCTGTGACTCTCAGAGTGTAAGAGTTTGCTACTTTACAAAAAAATCTGGTGCTGTTGATTCCAACTCTTGGTGATGCCATGTGATACAGATTAGAACTGAGCTCCATGAGGTTTTCTTGACTATACTATTGTTGTTGTTGTTGTTGTTATGTGCCGTCGAGTCAGCCTCCACTCATAGTGACCCCTCCTTGGGTTTCCGAGGCAGTATCACTACGGAAGTAGGATTGCCCAACCTTCCTTCCAATCTCAGGCCTTTCATCCATAGCTGCAGGGTGGGTTGAAGCCACCAACCTTTTGGTTAACAACTGAGTGTAAACCATTTGTCTCACCCAGGGTCCTTCTGCTTTATAAAGCATCACCTTAGTTTTTTAACCAACTTTGTTTACTTTGTAGTGTCTGGTGAGACAAATGATCACAACTCATCATGAAGAGTGATCAAAGTTGAGGTATAAAACATCTTGTAGAGTGGTTAAGAGCTCCAGATTTGGAGTCATTCTGACTCCATCATTTATAACTTTTGTAACCATGGGCAGATTATTTAACCTTTTTGTGTCTAAGTTTCATCATCTATAAAAAGAAAACAACTCAGGTGTGAAAATCAAATGGACATCACACATAGAACTATATTGTATGCTGATGGCATACCTTGCATTCAGTAAGTGATAGCCATTACTGTTGCTACCACTATTAATGGCAAAAGGATAGATTGATTTTGCATACATATTTTATATATAATCATGTATAAAATATGTTTGTTGTTATGTGCTGTCATACCTTTTTTAAATTAATCTCAGACTTTAAATTATTGCTAGAATTACGTTACCAAGTAATTATCTTTGAAAGATTAGAAGGAAAAAGGAAATAGAAACTGAGAGGATCCTTCAGATCTAGTAGTCCAACTATCACTTGACAGATAAGGAAACTTAGTCCCAGTGAAGGGAACTATCTTTTCCAAGGTCATGTAGCTAGTTAGTCACAGAGATAGAAATAGACATTAGTGTTCCTATTGCTTAAAAAGATGACTTAGCAGTATTTCTTTATAATTGACCTAGAAATGTCCAACATTTAGATCCCCATTACTCAGGTAAACCATTGTAATAATCCATGTTGCAGCCTAGATTATATATTGAGGCTTGTGAGAGGAGCTCAGGTGAAATGCCTGGTAGGTTATTAGAATGCCTATTGTTCTGGTTACCTGGTGCTGCTCTGACAAGAAATAGACCACAAATTGGATGGCCTTAACAAACAGGAGTTTATTCTCTTACAGTTTGGAGGCTTTAAGTCCAAGTTCAAAGTGCCAGGTTCTAAGGGCTGGGTGAGAGCCCCTCAGCCTTGGGCTTCAGCTCTGCCTCCAGCTCCTGGCCCACTGAAGCTAGAGGCTTTTCTTCACTCAGACAGCTGCTGGCTGCTGAGGCTGCCAGGCCCAAGGTTGACATGTAAAAAGGCATAGTCCCAATGTTATCAAACCACATGGCAGGCCGTTAACTCAAGTCCATTGTAAGTCCCAAGGTCAGCAGAGCATGGCAAGCTGCTGCTGCTGAACAATGACACAGCTACATGCAGGGTCCAAGTGTGCCATAAGCTAGAGACCATTCCAAGGCTTTGCCTTATATACAGGAAGCAGACCACATCCAATAGCAGCTGGTCAGCTGCTTGTGGTAGATCCCACCATGGAGTTTGATTGCCAGTCTCATCATGGGGAATAACTACCACCAGCTGCCCAGCCACTCAGCCAGGCCCAGCCAAGTTGACACACAAACATAACTACCATATCTACCATGGGCAAGTTAGTGCAGTGGAGAAGCACTAGATTAAAAGGTAGGGTACCTGGGACCAGGCTTAATACTTTCCTAGGGATCTTGGACAAATTATTTAACCTCTGCTTCTTGGTAGAGAGCTCTGGTGGCGTAGTGCCTAAGGCATTTGACTGCTAACCAGAAGGCTGGTGGTTCAAACCCACCAGCCACTCCTCGGAAGAAAGGTTGGGCAGTCTACTTCTGTACCACCTCAGAAACACAAGGAGAGGTCCCTATGAGTCAGGTCCAACTTGACAGCAGTGTGTTTGGTTTGGTTTGGGTCTTGGTAGTAAAGTGGCAAAATAGCATCTGCCCTGTGTTTGCTAGTGTGGTTACAATACGCAAAAGGTAAGATGTTACTTTAAGGGATAATTATACAAAGGCCAACACTGTCATTGTTTGGTAGAATAAAAGGTCTTTTTAGATGTTGGTTTCAGTATGCTATTGTTTTGGAGTCAGTCTTTTTTTAGAAGAATCTAATTTCCTGTCTTGGATCATTGGCTCTCTCAATGGTAACCAAGGAAGATAGCAGTTAAGCTCAATTATATAAGACTGCTAGAGCAGAAGAGCTTAGTGGAAATTAAATCATATGTAGTAACTGATGTCATATGGGTTCATTATACTTTTTCTCTATAAATCTGTTTTATGTTATTTTTAGTTTCTGTTGATGTGGGGACCAGCAGCAAACTAGGGAAAATTTATGGTAGCAATTTGTACAGCCAACCTTCTAGCTTCATCCATTCAGCATCATTCCATTCCCTATCCTTTTTCCACAAAATTACTGAGATTATACATGTTACAGAAAGAGTATATTTTTGTATGTTTGAAATCTTTCATAATAGAAAGTAAAATAATAATGAGTTTAACCAGAATTATCAAGGGAGAACAGTTCTGGTTAGAAGAATGTGCCCCTGTCTGTAGAAACCTGATAGTAAATGCTTGCCATGGTAACCTCAGGCACAGATTAGATGTAGTGAACTCTGGCATGCAGGAAGAAAGATCCAAACAGCCAGACTTTATAGATTACTCTGGGAAGAACTGACACTTTAATAATAGTGAATCTTTCTTTGAAAAACATGGTTTGTCTTTTTAATTATTTTTTTCCAAATCTTTTTAATTCTTCAGTAGCATTTTCCGGGGGTGGGGAAAGTTTTCCATAGTCACTAACATATCTAGAGCTTTCTACCACCAAGAGCAGTGGTGTTGAACTACAAACAGGTTCAACAATCACAAATATATACATTAACTCAAATATATACATATATACATTAACTCAGAAACCTTAAAAAAATCTTAAATGGCAAAGGAGATTTCAATTCTGTTAGATCTAATTACTAAAAAAAGAGAGGATACAAACTCTTCAGACATAAATATCTTTTTAATAGTATATTTTGAAGTTTATCCTTAGGTAGCTAGAAATTTAAATTGTGATAGATTTTCAACCATTAAGGAATATCTAGTGGTAAACTTTTAAGAAGCTAAAGGATGGCAGCTAGCAGTTAAAAGCTGTATATTTTTGTGAAAACATAAAATATACTATAAATTTTCACTGTCTCATTAAATTGTTAGAATGAGATTTAGTTATAAATGTAGGAGCAACTATAGATGTATTTTGTGTAGGACAAAATTTAAAAATTTTGTTTTGAAATTACGGGTGTGTGTGCATGTGTATGTATATAAAGCTCCTAAACAAAGTATATGTGTAGTAAGCATACAACCAGGCAACATTTTGTCCTGTTATACTTAGTGTTGCTGTAGGTCAGAACGTACTAGGGGCCACCTAACAACAACAGCAGGTGCTCAATAAATGTAGGGCTTTATCTCCAGATAACCTAGATTGATTGTTAAGCTGGCAGTTAAGTAATATCTTCATAATGGTTTCTCAGGGGAAAAAAAAAAAAAAAACTCACTGCCATCGAGTTGATTCCACCTCACAGTGACCCCCATTGGGTTTCCAAGGCAGTAAATCTTCACAAAGTGAATTTCCCCCTTTTCCTTCCGTGGAGTGGCTGGTGGGTTTGAACCATGACCCTTCTGGTTAGCAGTCAAATGCCTTAGGCACTATGCTACCAGAGCTCCTTCATGTTCTCTCAGAGGCAGTGGTAATTCAATGGCAGAATTCTAATCTTCCAGGCAGAAGACCCAGGTTCTTCTGTTCCAGGACAGTGCACCTCAAGCACAGCCACCATCCGTCAGTGGAGGCGTCTGTGTTGCTGTGTTGCTGAACAGGTTTCATTGGAGCTTCTAGACTGAGACGTACTAGGGAAAAAGGCCTGGTGCTCTGCTTCTAAAAATCAACCAATGAAAACTCTTATGGATCGCAATAGTCCAGTCCTCCACCAGTCGTGGGGGTGGAGCAGGACCCGGCAACATACTGTTCTGTTGAGCGTGGCATTGCCAAGAGTGGGGACTGACTCTGTAGCAGCTAACAACAACAATATTTTCTCAGGGCTCTAGGTACAAGTGGGCAGCTAGCTGTTTGTACCAGCAGGGTAGAAGACTTTTTGATTTTCTGGCATTATTTGTATAATTATATAATTTAAAGCAAATAAATAGAAAACAAAAAATGGAGAGTACCAGAGTGCTTTCTGAAGTTTTTGTTTCAGATGTCAGTTATTTTTACTCATGCCACTGCAGAAAGATGGTGGCTGTTTTTACAGGTGCAAATGGAGACAGTGACCTAGTAAGCTCTGACAGTGTTACCTCGCTGGGCTAGGGAGAGGCTTATTACGATTTATCCTTATTTGAAGTTTTTTTCACTGAGTATGTATTGGTTTATAACTTTAAAAATTAAGGTGAAAGGACCCTCTTTTATTATGAGCTCTTTCTCCTTTTAGGCGCTCTGACCTTTTTCTGTTTGTCAATGAAGGAGGACATGTAGACATAAACAAGTCTTCTCAGGAACCGAGATTTCCCATGTCTCCAGAAGTTCTCTTGCCCATGTTTTCATAAACCTTGTCTCTTGCTTTATTACAGCAGACCCTATATGCCCTCTGTCCTCCTGCAATGACAGAGAGCCATATGACTCGGCCATGATGGGACAAGAATTGTTCCAACTGACTGGCTGATGCATTAGCAGCTAGTTCATGAGGAGAGCCTTCTCACACTTGGTAATTTACGTCTCATCCACTTCTTAGGATGTATACAAGCCCCGTCGGAAGTACAGACGCCAGCGGGGAGCAGAGGAGCTGCTTGATGAAGAATCCCGAATCCACGCTACGCTTTTGGAATATGGCAGGTAATGATTGAGATATGGTCTAGATGTTGATTTGATGAAACCATTTAAAAGAGAAACTAATTTAAATTGTTTCATTTGTATTAGCTTGGTTGTCTTTAGTCTGAATGAGTTTGCTATTTTAGGCCCAGAGATTTCTAACATCATGGACTTTTCTCTCCAGTATTGAATAACTGAAGTTTTTGTGAGTAGCTTCCATGATGGTGGTAGAGGCATGGTCTTTGAAATTCCTCTCTGGAACTGTGTGCATAACTGTGCACCCTAGCTCTGCCTTCCTTGGAGAATGGGCATTTACAAAGGCCATGGACTGTCTACGTTTCATGCCCTGTCTTTGTTAAAATTTTCAGGTAAATTAATAGAATTGAAACAGTTATAGCTGTTTTACTTTATGGGTTGAAGTAATAATTTTGGTTTCCTGTGAGGGTTGTCCTGACTAGGAAAATGAATTTAGGAGTAGTTTTCTCACATCTTAAAAACATCTCTAATTTAAAAAAAAAAAAGCTTTGTTTTTATAACTCACTGCCATCAAGCTGATTCTGACTCATAGCAACCCTATTGGGTTTCCAAGGCAGTAAATCTTTACAGAAGTAGATTGCCCAATTTTTGTTCCATGGAGCAGCTGGTGGGTTTGAACCATCAACCTTCTGCTTAACAGTCAAATGCGTTAGGCACCATGTCACCAGAGCTCCTTTTTATACCCCCTAGTGTTTACCTTAAAAGAAAAAAACAAAGCAAAGAAATACTTTTCCCCACTGAACTTTTTTGATTAACACTGGGTATTAACCTTTGTTTATATCCTGCATTTTCTACTTAGGGTAACTGATTCCTTGATTTGAGCATTTCTCCTTGAACTTTATTCTTTTGTTCTGGGAATGGTTGCTGTGTACTGCTCTGCCTCATAACCCAACCCTTGCTGGGTGACTGGAACTAACAGTGCTGCCACTGTGATCTCCCCAACTGAGCATCTGATAGCTCATTATTCCATCTTTCAATTGAAGTCGCAACCACCAGTTTTTCTTTTTTTGAGGTCTGGTTTTGGGTCATCCTTCCCTGACAGTAAAAACTAGGCCATTTTAAAAGACATCAACTGGAATAATAGAGGGAGAAATAAAATCAGGAATAGGAGGAGGATATGGAATGTGTGAGTAATTGCCTCTGTGAATAACTGCCACATTTTCCATGAGACCAGAAGAATTGGTTGGTGTCTGGCTATCGTTGTTGAATGTTTTGATCAATTTCCATAGAAGAGTCCTGATCAAAATGGGATAAATGCATAACAGAATTTCCAGTTCTCACAGAATCCATACTTTCTGGAGCCTTGGTGAGTGGATGAACCCCTGAAATTATTGCCCTGATACCACATTTAAACCTAAAATCAGAAATATCCCTGAAGTCTTCATAAAACTGGATAATTCCATAGTTTGGTTTAACTAGTGAAATTGTTGTTGTTGTTAAGTGCCATCGAGTCGTTTCCAACTCATAGCGACCCCATGCACAGCAGAACAAAACACTGCCTGATCCTGCGCCAGCCCCACAATCCTTGCTATACTTGAGCCCATCATCGCAGCCACTGTGTCATTCCATCTCGTTGAAGGCCTCCCCCTCTTTCGTCGACCCTCCACCCTACCAAGCATGACATCCTTCTCCAGGGAATGGTCGCTTCTTACAACATGACCAAAATAGATGAGACGAAGTCTGGCCATTCTTGCTTCCAAGGAGCATTCTGGCTGCACTTCCTCCAGGACAGATCTGTTAGTTCTTTTAGCAGTCCACGGTACTTTCAGCATTCTTCACCAGCACCACAACTCAAAAGCATCAACTCTTCTTCGGTCTTCCTTATTCATTGTCCAGCTCTCACATGCATACGAGGCTATTGGAAATATCATGGCTTGTGTCAGGCGCACCTTAGTCCTCAAGAAGATATCCTTGTTCCTCAGCACTTGATACAGTTCCTTCGCAGTTGACTTTCCCAATGCTACACGTCATCTAATGTCCTGACTGCTGCTTCCGTTGGCATCGATTGTAGAACCAAGCAATGTGAATTCTTTGGCAACCTCAATCTTCTTTCCATTTATTGTGATGCTGCTCATTGGTCCAGTTGTGAGGATTTTTGTTTTCTTTCTATTGAGACATAATCCATACTGCAGACTGTATTCTTCAACCTTCATCAGTAGGTGCCTTAAGTCATCCTCACTTTCAGCAAGCAAAGTTGTATCGTCTGCATATCTCAGGTTGTTAATGATTCTTCCTCCAATTCTGATACCACGTTTTTCTTCATATAGTCCAGCTTCTCAGATTATTTGCTCAGCATATAGATTGAATAAGTGTGGAGAAAGGATACAACCCTGACGCACTCCCTTCTTGACTTTAAACCATGTAGTGTCCCCTTGTTCTGTTCGAACAACAGCCTCCTGGTCAAGGTACAGATTCCTCATGAGTACAATCAAGTGCTCAGGAATTCCCATTCTTCTCAATGTTATCCATAATTTGTCATGATCCACACAATCAAATGCCTTTGCATAGTCAATAAAACACAAGGAAACATCTTTCTGGTATTCTTTGCCTTAACTAGTGAAAAAGGCCTGCCTAAAAGCATTATGGTCTTTTGAGATCACATTGACAGCAGCAACTCGAAAGATTAGGTGGGGGACTTTAGGGAACAGTAAGTTTATGTTAGTAAGTTAAAAAGAACTCAGAAAAAGAGGCTAACAATGGCTGCACAACTTGAAGAATGTAATCAGTGTCACCAGACTGTACTTGTAGAAACCATTGAATCAGTGTATGTTTTGCTGTATGTAGACTCAACAAGAGCAAAACAAAGAAAATTTAAAGAAAAAGACATCTGGTTAGTTCTGATCCCAGGCCAGGTACAGTGGCTGTTGCAAACTGACTGCACCCTCTGAGTCAGGTACTGCCACACCAGCTACATAATTTACAGAGCCCCTTGTTAAAGTACTAAGAAATTCAAGACAGCAACCATCACCCAGGGTGGGGACCTTCTGAGCATGGCTTCCCTAGTGACTGGGCAAGTTGCCACTCAGGAAGCTGGCCTTGGGCACCATGTTGGAATCTTTCTAACCAAACTCCAGTTACAGTGGGCAAATGAAGCTGTGCAAGTCTGGGTAAGCCAGAGCTGGAGAGACAATCCTTGTGGTTGTTAAGTGTTCCAGAGCCAGAGAGTACTTAGGGGAATGGTGTAGATTTTGTTTGTTTTCATAACTCACACCTCCATTTTTTTCCATTATCATGGAAATTAAGCATTTCTAGGGTGGAAAGGAGTTGGAAACTCAGTAAATCACACACTTTACTGAGACCATGATGGTAGTATTTGAGGATTTTGTTTTGAATTTCAGAGTTTCAAATTGGACCTTTTGCATTTGTGTCATAGACTGATGCTGTTATCACCAGGTGATGTCTAGGTAAATCAAGGACTTCCCTGCCCATCCTAAGGACTGGTTGTAGTGGATTGAGACCATAGTCTGGCAGAGCTCTCTTTAGAGAAGGGAGCATAGCATGGGATTTGTTTGTGACCTCTCAAATTCAGAGTATGAGAAAGTAAAATGTGTGAACACAAAAATCTTTATTCTTGTTGGTGGGGCCTGCTGATTTCTAAGCCTAAGGTAGGTGTTTGATGAAGGCTTTTTATTTTATTTTTAGCTTTTATGGCAAGGAGAGAGTATATTTATGGGAGATAAGATAATGGATATTCTGTTCATTTAGCTCATTTTCCTCCTTTTTGTGAATGGCAATGATAACATCTACTGAGATTCAGAAAAGTTACCCAAAGTCACACACTGTTAAGAGGCTCAACCTGAGACTTGAATTCAAGTCTCTCAAACTCCAGAAGCACGTCATTATCATTATCTACAGATCTGGTTTGAACCTCAATGATTCTATATTTTTAGACTTATGGATTTAGAAAGATAGACTCTATCTTTTTGTTGGAAAAAGAAGGTGAAAATCATTTGAGTTCTAGAGTGTGAGGATCTGAAACCAGTGTTTCCTTTTTGATGTTGAGGGCCTGTCATGAGCATAGACCCACAGTGCTCTCTGGCTTTAAGGTCAGCATCAGATTCTTCCCTCTTTTTAGACTATCAGTTGCTGATAGGCCTGGCCAGCCATACTGAAGGCCTTAAGGACTGTGAATCTGTTAAAAACATGTTTGGATATATATTTTTTAATATTATGGTGTTAGAAAAATAAAAAGAAACTCATAGTTTTGATTTTAGACTTAAAACTGTGGCCCTATAATATTTCAACTTTATTATAGGTTCAATCAACTTTTGTTGTTGTTGTTGTTGTTGTTTGCCATCGAGTCAAACCTGACTCATAGCGACCCCTCCTTGGGTTTCCGAGGCAGTATCACTACGGAAGTAGGATTGCCCAACCTTCCTTCCGAGGAGTGGCTGGTGG